AGAGAAACATTATGTTTCAAGGGACCCAGGAAGTGTTAGGACTGCTTTGTTAGAGAAGACAACTGTGCCAATTAGCTATTCAAACATACCTAAAGGATACTGTTGCGACAGACACACCAGTTCCATTTAGGGATGGGTGAATAGTTCAATTTTAGTTTCTCTCCGTTTCTACTTTTTCCAATCTCAGTTCTCAACCCTTTTTGAAAAAAAAGTCCTGATAGAAAGTCATCATCATTTTAGTGCAAAATTCTCCCGCTATAAACTCATTTGGATGCAGTCTGGGGTTAGAGTGAGGTCGCTAAGTTTGCTGATGATGCTAAACTGTTTGGGGTTGTTAAAACAAAAAGGGATTGTGAAGAGCTTCGAAAGTCCTCTCCGAACTGAGCGAATGAGTGGTAAAGTCGCAAATGCAATTCTGTGTAAACCATTGTAAAGCAACCCTTAATTTCACAAACATGCTTAGGGTATCTGGATTGGCAGTGACTTACCAAGGATGGGACCTCGGGGTTGTAGTGGAAAGTAGACCCAGTGTGATACTGTAGAGTTTGAAAAGATTCAGAAAGTGGAAGCCAATATCCGGCAGGAAAGGTTACAGCTTGGGGGGGTCGCTTTTTAGTTTAGAGAAAGGCAAGTAAGAGAAGACATGATAGAAGTTTGTAAAATTATTTATAGTGTAGAGAAAGTGGATAGAGAAAACTTTTCTCCCTCTCTCATAATATTGGAACTCAGGGCTAACCTATGAAGCTGAATGTTGGAAGTTTCAGGATAGTCACAAGAAATTATTTTTGCACTCAAGTCCTGCTTTCAGGCTTCTCAGCAGCATTTGGGTAGCCACCACAAGAACAAATGCTGGATTAGATGGGCTACTGGCTAAGGAAATGCATTGTGAAATTTGAAGTACAAATTTCACAGGTTGACTGAGTTTTGTGCCCATATTTTTCCAGAAAGTGCAAATTACGTAGATTCATATTTAAATGCAAACTGAACCAAATTCCTCCCCCTTTCCAAAGCCCCCCCCCCAGTCCCAATAGATTTAATAATAAGCAGAGGATCCTCACGAATCCTTGTTTTAATAATTCACCCCAGGCAGCTGCCTTTGACTCTGATTTCCAGTAGAGGGCAGTTAGGTTACACGGCTTTCCCCCTTGAATGGAGTGTCTCCTTAAGGCATTCAGTTGCTCAAATCATCTGTTCCTTTAGTTGTGCGGAGAGAAAGAGAAAGAGAAGGTATTTGCTGAAATTTCCTGAAGATTTCAAGGAACAGCAGAATGATCACAGCTTCTAAGAGGCTTTGTTTTTACTGACGTTAAAGTAATGTTTTTCTTTCTTTCTTTTTTTAAGAAAAGAAAATGTTTTCACGGGAAGTTAAAAAGGAAAAGTATAACTTTGGCAGCACAGAACAACTCCAGAACATTCTGTTTTCTATGCAAATCACACTTCCCAAGATTTATCTTATTACCTTGAGAAAGTTCAGCTGCGCTCCTTTTGAGAAAGTCTCCCAACCCCCGCTCTCAATTTCAATGGTTTGTGTGCATTACAGTTTTTCTGCAAAGAAAGCACCATAAAAACAAAAGGATCAGAAGATTGAAAGATTGAAATATACTGGAAGGAAGGAGGACACAGGAAGCTGACTTATAGCTGCCTTCAAAGCTTCACTTTCTTTGACTAGTCTAGTTCAGTATTTCCAATACTGACTGGCAGCACCTCCTTAGACAGGAATCTTTTATAACCCTGCCTGGAGAGGCTGGGGATTGGATCTGAGGATTTTTTCATCCAAAGCAGATGCCCCCCCCCCACTGAGCTATGGTAAAGGTAAAGGTACCCCTGACTGTTAGGTCTAGTCACGGATGACTCTGGGGTTGCGGCACTCATTTCGCTCTATAGGCCAAGGGAGCCGCCGTTTGTCTGAAGACAGCTTCCGGGTCATGTGGCCAGCATGACTAAGCCGCTTCTGGGGAACCAGAGCAGTGCACGGAAACGCCGTTTTACCTTCCCGCCAGAGTGGTACCTATTTATTTACTTGCACTTTGACGTGATTTAACTAGGTTGGCAGGAGCTGGAACCGAGCAATGGGAGCTCACTCCGTCGCAGGGATTCGAACTGCCGACCTTCCAATCGGCAAGCCCTAGGCCTTGTGGTTTAGACCACAGCATCCCCCGCGTCCCTTCTGAGCTATGGTACTTCCTCCCAAATTGCATTATTTCAGGTCATAATATTTCCCCATCTAGCTCAGTATTGTCAACTCTAACTGGAAGCAGCCCTCCAGAGTTTCAGGCAGAGAAGGATCTTGCTCATCTTTTGCTGCCTGATCCGGTCTCTATTGGGAAGGCCAGGGATCACTCCTGAGGCTTTCTGCATGCAAAGCATCTGATCCCTCAGGTACCTAGAGCCCTTTCCACATCTTAACTCATGTCTTGATTTATTTTATATCAGAATCATCATCATTGTGAGCAGCAGAAGCAGCGAGATCTGTAAACTCTGACACAAGCTAAAAAAAAGCAGAAAAATAAGCTGGATGTGGATTCCTCTGTTGTTTGAGTCTTGGATGTCGGGCAACACTGCATAACTCTCAGTGGGATGCTGATTCTGATGCAGAATCTCATGCACAACGAATGCAACCAACAGGCATGCGTGAGCCGACCACCGCCATGTGTATCAGTTTGTGTCATAGATTTTTCAGAGGAAACTAACAAGAAACTCACACAGTGAATGAAGCTGATTCAGGACAGATAAAACAAAGCACTTCTTCATGCAATACCATACCCTCCAACGTTTCTCTGAAGAAAATAGGGACGTCCTATTCTTCCCTATACAGGGCTGCCTTCAGATGTCTTCTAAAGGTTGTATGGTTACTTCTCTCCTTGGCTATTGGGGTCACATAACTCCATACCCTCCAATGAAAATTAGGACGTCTTAGCATACCCTCCAACATTTCTCCAATGAAAATAGGGATAGCCTAAGGAAAAGCAGGACATTCTGGGATCAAATCAGAAACTGGGATGGCTTCTGTAAATTCGGGACTGTCCCTGGAAAATAGCGACACTTGGACAGTCTGCAATACACAGTTAAGCTACAGTACTTGCTCCCACAGAAGGTAGTGAATAGCAGTCTGGTGCCATTATTCAAAAAAGAGCATTTCCAACATTTTCTCCAATGACCTGTTTTAAGAAACAGTTTCACAGACACTCAATTTTGACAATTTGTAGCTTTAAGAATTTGGAAAGATTTCTTAAACTATAGCAGCTGGTTTGTGCAGGATCAAATTATTTCATATGAACAGGCAGCAATGATACTCAATCATAGATGCCCCCATTATTCCAGTTTTTTCCAACTGAGACATATAGTAGAACAACTCAAAGCCATATATGGATCTCACCTCATTTGAAAGTCTTCTTGAACAAAATGATAAAACTGAAGTAATAACACAGGTCTATTTCATACTCTCAATATATGCAAAACAATCCCTTCGTCCTTCGTATAAATGGAAATGGGAACATGACTTAGCAAATATTGGGTTAACAATCTTCAAAGCAGAATGGACATGGGCATGAAATAGTATTCCAAAAACGTTTATTAGTGTGAACCTGAAAGAAAACTATCATAAGACAATTTTCCAATAGTACTTAACTCCACATGGAATTAGTATTTTTTTTGGCCTAAGCATGTATTGTTGGAGGTGTAACAGAATTAATGTTGATCTAATAAATTTAATTTTGGAGTTGTAAAAAAATAACACCTTTCTGCATAGAAGTACTGAATATTATATAAAGTACAGGTTACAATCTTCTAAGAAATCCTAAAATAACTCTTCTTTTGATACTTTATTCTGAAATCATTAATACTGATTTACAGCTGATTACTACACTGCTAACAACAGCAAAACAGTTTATTGCACACACAAAAAGAAAAATAAAGACCCCCTGACTAACTGGTCGGTTAAGGAAAACCTGGCAAATTGTCTTATTGATAAAACTTACATATGAGAGACACGCAATACATAAAAATCAATATATGAAAGAAACACAATACATAATAACCAAGAAAACAAATTTATTGAGAGGTGGGCTTTATTTTCACATTTTTGAAAGGACAATGTAAACGATTTCCCCCTCAAACTTTCACTGCACCTTACTTTTTGCTATGTTGCTCCTTTCCTCCTTTATATTTTTCTATTTCTTTTAAAATCTCCCTTTTTAGTTCAATTGTTCTCTTTTTTTCCTGACAAGCAAACTTGCTTGATGTATAATGATCTTGACTATGAGATTAGATAGATAGATATGAATGAATGAATGAATGAATGAAAGGCTTGGGCAAATTAAAGAAGGCTTGGGCTATCAGTGGCTACTAGCTATGATGGCTATGCTCTGCCTCTGCAGCTGGAGGCAGCAATGCTTCTGAACACCAGTCGCTAGAAACCACAGGATGGGAGAGGGCTCTTGTGCTCAGGTCCTGCTTGCGAGTTTCCCACGGACATCTGGTTGGCCACTTTGAGAATAGGATGCTGGACTAGATGGGCCATTGGCCTCACCCAGCAGGCTCTTCTTGTGTTCTTATGCTCTTATACACAGATAGAGCTCAGAAAAGCAGAGGCTATCTCAATTGTTCCATGGGCTTCCTTTGAATACCAGAGATACGAGGGAGGTGAAGTGGAGAACTGAGTGGAAATGATGGGACACTTTCCTGCACCCTAGCCATCCTCAACATGTTTGTGCAGATGTGTGCCATAAGTGGATACAGCAATATAGTGTCACTCAAGAGACACTACATACACACAACCTCTCCCGTACATATTCAAACACATACACACCTTCAGGGTCTTGTTTGTGGTCTTTTTTTATATGGAGGCAGGGAGCAGATCACAACACAGCAAAGAGAGACCCACAGACCCTTTTGCACATAGCCTGGATGCTGCCTAGGTTCTTCTGCCTAGGTTGCTTGACAGCCACAGGACAATTTACAGGGGTACAATGAGATGCACATGCATTGAGGGAAGGATGTCAGTCTATATAGCTCAGTTGGTTAGAGCATGGTGCTGATAATGCCAAGGTTGCAGGTTTGATACCCGTGTGGGACAGGGGGTTGGACTAGATGATCCTCAGGATCCCTTCCAACTCTACAATACTATGATCTCTGTGTTCTGCTTTGCACACAAAAGGCCCCAAATTCAATCCCCACTGTATCCAAGAAGGGTTGGTAAGATCTCTTTCCTGACTCCTTGGTGAGTAACTGCCTGTCACTGCACACAATACTGAGCTAGATGATAAAACTGGAGAACTGGAGAATTGGAAGGACCCAAAGAGTCATCTAGTCCACCCCCGCAATGCAGAAATCACAACGAAAGAGTCCCTGGCAGATGGCCATCCAACCTATGTTTCAAAACCTACATTGAAGGAGAGTCCACCCCCTTCCGAAGTAGTCAGTTCCATTGTCAAACAGCTCTTTCTGTCAGGAAGTTCTTTCCTGATCTGTGGTCGGAATCTGCTTTCTTGTGATTTGAATCCATTGGTTCAGGTCCTACTCTCAGGAGCAGCAGAAAACAAGCTTGCTCCATCTTCTGTGTGGCAGCCCATCAAATATTGAAGATGACTATCAAATCAAATCAAATGGACTAAGGGTCTGATTCCATATAAGGTGGTTCCTTATGAATGAATCTAAGTTAGTTATATCCATTCACTTACTGTGAACAGGACCAGGAATTTCTTAATATGTTACTAAATATTATATGGACAACCATAGCTTGGTACTGGGGCACCAGCTCTGCATACAGAAGGGGTCTCAAGTTCAGTCCTTGGCATCTTATTCTAGGATAAGAAAGACCTTCTTCTGGCAACCTGCAGTAAGTGGAGACAATACTGAGCTAAATGGACCAGTGATCTAGCTCAGAATAAGGCTGCTTCCTATGTTCATTACCATAATCAATTACTCTTTACTATGGACCAATTCAGCATCTTATGAGGGAAGGGAGTTAATTTTCCATGCACAGCAAGACCGGCCTCCTCCGCTTCTTCTCTCCCCTTACCTTTTTTTGCTCCTGGAAGAGTAAAAAGTGAGAGGTCAAACATGTGTTGTCATGGCAACCTCAGCAGCGACAGTCTTTCAGCAGATGAAGGAGGGTGATACTGGAGCTGAAGTTTCTTCCCTTTGCATGGCTTGTGCTGTTGGTTTCCTTATTGTCTATCTCATGCTGTATACCAAGTGCTTTTGATCTTGCCAGAGTACTTGGCAACACAATTGCATTATTTTTAACTTTTCACATTACTTAGAATTCTTTCGATATTCATTGTAATTTCTGGAGAATCCCCCACATCTCGTCTCTTCAGGATACACTACATTTGGGCCAGATGCAATGCATCGGCAGTCAGGAGCCTCTGGCCCATGGATGTGATCAAGCCCCACCAGACTTCTGTATTTGACCCACAAGACCATTTCAACCAAGCCACTCCACCTACCTTACACCTGACATCATATACGGAGCAGGTTCTAGCCAAAATGGGGTTTTCAGGCAAAGTGCTCCACGAGCCTTGACAGTCATCACTTCGAAAGTCAATGAGTGGATCATTCGGTCTTTGCAGGCTCTGTGTCTTTGCCTGCAAAGTTTGAACTCAATCCGTGTGGGTGAAAAATGTATTGTCTGACACCATGGGAAAAGGTGGAGGTACCATTTGTCATGAAGAAGGCAGTGGTGCACCCCTAGCCTGGGCCCAGAGGTGTTAAACAACATCTATCACTCAGTGGCAAATACTGTAAACCTATAAAAGGTGCAGAAAACCCTCCTATGAAGAAAAGTTACAACTTTGTGGATTCTTTGTTTAGAGAAAAGGTAAGTAAGAGGAAATATGACAGAGGTGTATACAATTTTGCATGGTGCAAAAAAAGTGGTTAAAGAGAAACTATTCTCCCTTTCTCATAAACCTAGAACCCATACCATTCATGGAAGCTGAATTTTGGAAGATTGAGGACAAATGGAAGTTCACAAAAGACATAGTGAAACCATGAAATTTGCCCCCCAAAGTTGTTGCAATTGTCACCAGCTTCAACAGCTTTACAAGAGGATCAGATAAATTATAATGGAGTATAAGGCCATTGATGAGTGCTTGTCTGCAGTTCCTCACATTGCAGTTGGCATGGCAGCCATGTCAACTACAGAGCAGGACAACAGTCTTGCATTTTTATGTATACAGGAAAAATATCCCTTTCCTTTGAGGAACTCAAGGTGGAGTAAATGGTTCTCTCCCTTCCCATTTTATCTTCACAACTACCCTGTGAAGTAGGTTAGGCTAAGATGCAGTGATGTGTCCAGTGAGCTTCATGGCTAAGTGGGGACCTGAGACTTGGTTTCCCAGGTTCAGCACTCTAAACACTACGCCACACTTATTTTCTTTAACCGTGTCTAGACAACGTTGCATTTTTATTTTTTAGATTTCCATAGCATTACCTTTCTTCATGGAATAGACTGGGATATCAAGTCTAATATTATTGTCCACAGGTTAGAGGGCAAACACATCACTTGAGTAAATTAAAAGAGAGAATGAGTGTTAAGTTTCCTTTTAAGGAACTAGTGTGTGTGTGTGTGTGTGTGTGAGAGAGAGAGAGAGAGAGAGAGAGGATGCATGTGTACAGGCTAGGATATGGTTCATCACAGTCCGTGTGTAATAATTACCAAGAAGATTAAATACTTCTAATTGCACACGGATGTGCCCTTTAGTTATGGTCTCTGAAGAACAATGAACAGCTTTCAGGAGGCCTAGAAAATGTCATCACTGGAGACTTTGTGCTGGAAGAGGGAAGCAAACAAGGAAAATCAACAATGTGGGTAAAATGTTTGTTTCTCCCTTTAAAAAAATCTCTTTGCAAATGAGTGTCAAGAATACAAAAGCAATTATTAGCGCAATAGGTGCTTTTTGCAAAGTGAAAATACCATTTCCAAACTGGAACCTCCTCTTCTAGATTCCATACCTCCCCTCCCCCAGATTTCAGATCTAGAACTTATAGAATGGACCAATCCAGAGATAATATGCCACTGGATAAGTGGTGGTGGTTGTCATTTTTATTCGTTACCTGCCTTTCAACCTAAAGTCAGGGGCGAACGAAGGCTAACCGACACCTGGGGTGGGGCAAACCACAGGGTGCGCATGCGTGGCGCAGCTACGTATGATGCATGCACAACGTTGCTATGTAGGGCGCATGTGCGGCATCACTACATACAACGCATGCACTGTATGTAGGGAAGCCGCACATGTGATGTACATAGCAGTTTGCCGCCAGCGCCGCTCGAGCGCCGTACGGACAGTGGCAGGATCCTCTGCTCACGGCTGCAGCGGCAGTGGAGAGATCCTCCGCTTGTAGCTGTAGTGGCAGCGGCGGGATCCCACCGCCATCCGCTCAGCGCTAGAGCAGCTCTTGTGGCAAACCGCTATATACAGCGCATGTGCAGTGTCGCTACGTACAGTGCATGCGTGCAACACCATGCATGCATTATACATAGTGGTTTGCCGCCTGCACCCCTCAAGCGCTGTAAGGACGGTGGCAGGATCCTCTGCTTGTGGCTGCGGCTGCAAACGGAGGATCCTCCACATGCGGCGGTGTCATGATGGCTGCTCATGCCACTGTCCCTGGGGGCGGCGGACCAAGTACCCCACAGGGTGCCTTCTTGTCAACCCTCTGAGACATGGCACCTGGGGCACAGCGTCCCCCGCCCCCCTTGCGACGCCACTGCCTGGGCACTGGGCAGCACTGGGCACTACTACTGAAAATACAGCATTATAAACAGCTTAAAACAAATTGCAACCACAATGATAGGGTGAGTCCTAAAAATATACATATTGCATGTCAAAGGCCAAGGTAAAGAGGTGTGTATTCAGCATACAATGAAAACTGTACTGTGAAGGGCCAGACAAAGTGGGGCCCTTCCCTTTGGGGAACGAATTCCACAATTTAGGGACTGCTGCAGATAATGCCTTCTCCTGGGCCACATTCCCCTCACCTTCTGAGCTTCAGAGGGTGGAGGAACTATGAAGAGTGTGACCTGCTGTTCTTAGAAAGTTATTAATGTAGGAATGACGCATTCAAATATACCATGTTCCACACTGTAAGAACAGCATGCTGGAATAGTTAGGCCATTGGCCTGATCCAGCAAGGCTCTTGGTAAATTGTTACATTCAAAGAGTTAATTACAGCTGGCGTGATGTACTGGCTAGGAGCACATTTACACCAGTGTTGGTGGCAGCAGCCAGCACCCATAGGCAGCTGGCACCCCAGCAGGGGCCCCTTGGTGCTATTTTTTGAGCCCATTGGTTACTTGACTGTGAGGCTTAACGGCTGCAGCAAGAGTAGTTGGGAAGCCACCCACCATTTTGATTTTCCCAGGGTGCCACTCAGCTGCCATCGTGCCATGCGGGCGAATAATATTGGCACACCTTGCAGGGTCATTGCTAGAATGACTACAATAATGTTTGTTCAGGGGCTCTGAACACTCCGGAGCACTATATGAATGCTAAGTATTAGTATTATGAGCTGAGAGAACAATGGACGAGGTAACCACAAGGTCAGCGGGATCCTGTACTTTCTCATTGTCTCATAATGACTGATTAGAAACACATCTGCTGTAGAGTGATATAAAAACCTGATTGCCTTTTCCATTTTTTTTTTTAAAGAATGTGTGTGATGTTCTTGTTCTCTCTTTGATTGTTTAGGGGTTTTGTGGGGTTGTTGCACATGTGTGGGGTATAATGATATCCACTTTGCTTTTTTCCTGCTCTCCATCCACATCCATTAGTAGGATGTTTTGCAATATGGTGCTTGTCATCTGTTTCAAAGACACAGCGATGTGATACAGGTAAGCCAGATGGGTAACCCTAGTGTGACTAATTATTGTGTATTTGCCTTTAATTATTATCATTTATTATGGAGGAAAAGACAATAGAGGTTCCCAGACTAGGAGGAGGAGAGCAGCGGCAGAAGGGAAGCTTGCCCCCTCTTACTTTCTAGAGGCCATTATATGGAGAAACCAAATAAAAAGGGAAAGGCAAATGGTCCAGGAGGGACTGCCTATATATACAGTACAATGGAATGGTT